CAAATAAATTTTTCCAAAAATTCATAAAGTTTTCTTCAACACCTATATATAATCAATGAATAAAATTCTGATGAACTTTTCATATTTTTAAATTTATTTAATAAAGATTATTTTCAAGTGACAATCATCGTATCTATTGTTTACTAATGCTATCCATAACACATGATAACGAGTTGATCGATGATCAGGGAAAATAAAAACCTTACAATGAACCATTTATTGTTCGTTCGGTTAAAAAACTGTCTTATTTGTTTTACCAACCTTATTGATTTCAACCATGTGACTTCTAGTTGCTCATACTCACTATTATGTTGAGAAAAAAAAGAACTTGGCAACAACGACAACAACGTTCGTTCTTTTACGACTTTGTTCAACTTTTCTTTTGCCTTCTTTGATGCAGGCTTGCTTCGTGAATACTCTTGAAATGAGTGATGAAAAATCTTACAATAGCAAACAAAACACACTCTCATAACAACCGACCAAAAAACGGTATCAACAAAAAGATGACAAAAAAAAATCATACAGTACCAATGTGGGCATGCACAAAGAGAACAGAACTTTTCAATTATCTTCATTTTAGTATTTCATTATTGACGACTAAAGTTTTTCAGTTCCATCTTTTTCGGAATGGAAGCACTTTATTGACAGTTGTATTTCTTCAATAAAAAATCATTGTTGTTTGAATGCTTATTTTGCTATCATAGTCTTGGAAACTTACGAAGTACTTTTTTCAATAGTTTTTATGCTAGCAAGTAACGATTTCATTTTATCATTGTCTCATTCATTACAATTGATTGTAGGATCAATAAACAATCTGATTATGCGCATGCAAGCATGTAGAACGAAATAGTAGAGTAGAGAGATAGAATGCCAACAAAAAAACATAGTTTGATTATTGAGAAAGAAAATATTAGTCCTCCGTAGTCAAAGAAACTTTTAGTTTAAATAAAGAAACCGTCTTTCAATAGCAACTCAACCATTCGTGGTTTCAGGTTGATCACGCACATAATGCATAATTTTTCATGTTACGTACAATTAAATCAGTATGGGTTGCAGTGCATTAGTAGTAGTATCAAGGTCTAATTTTCTGAACGATCCTCACCATCCTCCTACTAAAGCAGTAACAACGTTATCCTCATCACCATAGCCCTCTACTTTAGTAAATCAGCAATCTGACTCAAATCGCATTCCAAAAACAGCGTCGTCGTATTGATACAAATGAAATAGTTCAAAATTTTCTTTTGATTTGGTTTGATGCAAAACTCGACGAATCCAGCGAAGATTATCGCAATTCAGTCGAACATCTGCGACGCACCGTCAATACTATCAAAATATTTCAAAATACGGAAGAATGTGCGGATTATATTTCGCAACTTCAAAACGAAAAACCATTCCTTATCATTTCTGGTGCTTTATATCAAACTGTTGTGCCCTGCATCCATAACATGCCACAACTATATTCAATTTATGTCTTTTGTTGGAAACAAGAAAAGTATGAAGAATAGACAAAAGATGGGTCCAAGATAAAAGGCATTTTCACCGAAATTAACCCGATTTGTGACGTAGCTCAACAGTCTGCTCGACAATATGACGAAGACTCTATCGTAATTACTGGATTACAGCAGGGGTCGCAGCGGTCTATGCCTGAAAATCAGGAAAATAGGCAGGACACATTTTAGAAAAAAATCAGGAATTTCGATTAAAATCAGGACATTTTAAGTCTTATCATAGTACTATTGTTCAGGATGAAAGCTGCACAAAAGTATGTCAATCAGTGATAGTTCATTGAAATTACTATATAGTTCGCCGAATACGCGCTTCGAGTTCTGCTTTTTTCCTTTTCGTTCGCTATCTCTAATTATGCATTGTGTATACGTTTTCTTTTTCTCAGATACGTGGCCTACGGAAGGAGGATCCTTTACTATTGGAGTCTTATTTGTTTCTAGTCAAAATCGCATTTTTATCAGGAAAATAGCCGTGAAAAGAAATAAGAAAAATCCGCATTTTCGCAGTTTTTAAGGTTCTATAACCATCTTTTCGGCATTCAAACCATTTCCCTGCATCACACTTCCTTTCCCTCTCTGCTACTTTTCCTCTTCTTCATATCCCTGCTCTTCGCACATATAAAACAACCATGTTATAGATAAACGAATAAAAGCGTTTATAAAAAAAACTTTAGTAAATCGACTAAAATGTTAAAATAAGGGAATAGAAGATTTAATGCAGCTATGCACGGTCGTGAACTGTATGATATAATTACCGCGAAGTGCTGGTGATAATTACTAATGATAAAATAGCTGCTCTCAAAAACCAATTAATTCGAAATAATCGATTCTTAAAGTGAGTACAAGAAAAAAAATGGACAAAATAAAAATTTGAGTACCATCTTTCTCTTTATAGAAAATATTCAACAAATATTTTCATAAAATTTTTAAGAAACGTTGAGTATAGCAAAATAAAATATCAAAATGACGTATATGTGGTCCTGCAGAGATAAATCTTGAGAAATCAGGACAAAATCAGGATTTTCAGTCACAAGCAGGAAAATCAGGACACTTTAAAAAAATCAGGAAAAAATCAGGAAAGTACACACGCTGCGAGGCCTGTCAAGAGGAACACTGTGTCGAATACTCAATAACGATCTTCATTTACATGCTTCTCGTATAACAACACAACCGAAATTGACTGGTGCAAATAAAAAACAGAAGAATATCATTTGCATATTGGATACAAAAGTGACTAAGAAAAGAAGATCATGATAAGATTTTACTTACAGATGAAAAATATTTTGTAGTAGAGGGTGTGTTTAATCATCAAAATCAACGTGTTTATGCCGTTAGTCGAAAGGAGGCATAAAACAAAAAGTCAAGTATCCAAAAAGAATCATGGTGTGGTTAGGTGCTTCAAAACATGGTCTTGCGTCTCCAATCATTTTTACACCCGATGGAATACTATCACACCACAATTATATTGAAGTCGTTCTTCCACATGCACAATCTGAAGATAAACGGCTTCTGAACGATGATTTCATTTTTCAACAAGACAATGCCAAACCACACACTCATCATGAATCATTAGCGTAGTGTGAAATAAATTTCAAACAATTCATTAGTACTGATCGATGGCTACCAATTAGTCCCGAGCTCAACGTATGAGACTATTACGTGTGGGACGCTATTACCAATCATATGCAATGGGCCAACGTCAAAAATTATGATTCATTAATTGATGAAATTAAAAGAGAAATTCGTCGTGTACCAACAGATGAACTTGCCCATAGCGTCGAAAGTTGGTCGCAAAGGATTTCATCCATTTTGAAAACAATAGGTGCATATATAAAATAGGCTATTCTTCGTGGAGTGTAGAGCTTTTCACGCTGCATCTTTTAGTATATTTTGTTTTTATAAATAAAAGATATCAGGTGATAAAAAGATGAAATAAGAAAAAACGAATTGATCTTGTTCTAAAAAAATCTTTTTTCGCACGGTTGCATTTTAGTTGCTCAAGCTTTTGCCCGTTTTGAAAAAGAAGAGTGCAACTGTAAGAAAAGTTGCCTTATGTAAATTGTAGAGCCTTTTACGCTGCATCTTGTGGTATATTTTGTTTTTTTTTTAATACAATGTATTAAATGATTACAAATTACAATATAAAGCGCGGCCATTCAACCTGGCTCACCCATTGTATTTTGAAAGAAAAACAGTCCCACATCGTAAATATCGGACAATTTTTAGCAGTAAACCGCGGTAAATCCCAGCGACGGGAGCCGATAACCGGACCGGTAAAACTGCGGTTAACCGCCGGTTTTTATCACATGGGATATTTATAAAGGTAATCTATATCTAAAAAAAAAGCAATGGATAATGATAAAAGAAACAGCTTCTACTAAAACCAAACAGATTCTGAGGGTCTTAAATGTCTCGAAAACACCGGATAATAATCGTATAGTTTTGCAGATATATTTAATAAAATTATTCTTCGGATTTGATACAAATAAATCATTTACATCCCATAGATTGTTATATCATTTGATAAAATGATAAAAAATTTATTCTATCTTCGCTGATACTCGTTCAATATCTTTCTTAATTTCAATTAAATCTGGATGTGTTGAAGATAAAATCTTTTCTCTAATTTTTAATGCTTTTTCATAATTCTTTTTTGCTCCAATAAAATTCTTTTTAACTTCGTAAATAACCCCGATATTCTTAAGTATTCTTGCCATTGAAGGATGTCGTGGTGTAACACAGTCTTTAAATATTTCATATGTTAATTGATATTTTTCTAATGCTTGATCATATTCATGAAGATAATAATAAACATTTCCAAGATTATTATATGTGTTACCTAAACATGAATGTTTAGCAGGAAGAACTTTTTTTTTAATACTTAAGGCTTTTAGAAGATATCCACGTGCTTTAGAGTAATTCTTTTGTTTTTCATAGATAATACCTAAATTATTATAACACCAAGCGATACTTTTATGATCATCGGGAACAGTTTGTCGAAAAATTTTTAATGCTTCTTTATATGATTCTAATGCTTTTTCGATATCACCTTTATTTTGATAAACTTCACCAATACTATTATGGATATGCGCAATTCGATAATCATTTGGTTGAGATTCTCTAAGAATTTCAAGAGCTTTGCCAAAATAATCAAGACTTAAATCATAATTTCCTTTTTCACAAGATACTTTTCCAAGCGCATGAAGACATTTCGGAATATCCGTAGGACACGATAATAATTCTTTTAATAAACGATGTAAATATTTTTCAGCATCATCAAAATTTGCCAAATCAATAAGAACATTCGCAAATAACAGTAATTTATTATTCATTGAATCATATCGTTTTTTCATATAATCGAAAGTTGTTTGTAAAACATTATCACTACATAATGTCATTTCAATATGCCATATTTTATCAT